ACTTGGTGGAGGAACCCTTGTTGCCAAGTTTGCTTGGAAACTCAAACCTTCAGCTCACTCCACAGATTAAGGTCTGGAGGTTGGCTAGACCACTCCATGACCTTAATGTGCTTCTTCTTTAGCCACTCCTTTGTTGCCTTGGCAATATATTTTAGGTCATTGTCATGCTGGAAGACCCATCCATGACCCAATAATCACACCAACAGTGTCATCTTCTTTGTCATCTTCTTGCTCATGTTTCTTGATGTCCTGTCCTTTGACAGCTCTTTGGTAGAGGTTGAAATGGAAGAAATTGAATCTTTTGTCAGCTGTGCTTTAAACATATAAATAGTCGAGATAAGGAGTATCTGTAATTGATTGATTGTAATCTGTGCCACATGGGTAAACAGCCAATCTATGGGAGCCACAATCTGGATGGTTAACGGGATAAAATAGTTATTTCACTCAGTGCAAATCAATTTAGAACTTTCATGTAAAGTGTTTGGTTTCTGGATTTTTGGTTAATATTCTGTCTTCATTAAAATGAAACTACCATAAAAATTAGAAAATGTTCATTACTTTGTGAGTAAACTTACAAATTCAACGGGGATCAAATACTTCCCTCATTGTATCAGTGCAGTACTCATCGATCGTTTTGTTTCGTCTTTGGACTTTTACTTCTGTACCAACGGTGATACGACGGATTTGTCTGAGGCTGTCATTCAGGAAAATACTTTAGCGAGCCTGAGCATGAGTATAAATGGTGACATTGCTGGTGACATTTATGTGGCATGTATATTGGGCCCTTTGATTACAGTAGGTATTTGCCTCAGGATCGTTTCACCAAGCTTATGTGTCACAGAATATATATATATATATATATATATATATAAAACACTTCTTCTTTTTCTTCTTTATTTATCACCGTAAAATCTAGACATCCAGCACAATTTAAAGTCCCGTCTTTTTGCTTGATTGTCTGGACAGTGTAATTTATTTCCTTTCTGATAACTTTCAAACTGTAATTATATGAGGCTACCCTGCAAAAAGTGCCAGTTTTTCGCATTTTCAAAATCTCTCATTTATATTGAGATAGTAGCTTTATATTGTAGTGGTTTACACCGTCATCAAACAAATTAGAGAGCTGCGGTTTAATCCTGAGGGGGCGAGAAATCCCTTTGGGATAGTGTCAGGAAGTGTATCCGTTTCCACAGTAGTGACCGCTTGTAAGAAAGGGAGCAGCTAAACGTAACTTTTAATTTGTATTGCAATAAGTAGCAGTGTATGGCATCAACTAAAATTTAATTTGTGTTATTTATTATTGTATGTGAAAAAGGCCTACATGATGTTCCGAGTGGACAAAATGAATCTTTTTACAAAGTATTTCTTAGACCAGCAGTCCAAACCTTAAATGAAAAGACTTTATTGGGAGTTAATGGCAAAACTGACTAAATTTTTTTTTTTTTTAACTTTCTGTAAAGTGTTACTTCAGCTTTGTTTGTTGCTCAGTTTAAAATCTAAGCACATCTGTGTGGTTTTGCTGCATAGGAGGTTGTAATCGGCTCTTTAATTATAATGGTTCAGCATTTAAAAATTCTCACTGAAAGCATAAGGAAGGAAAAACATCATCGCCATCTTTCACCATGTTTATGGATTTCCTTGGACTTTAACATTTAACTAACTGCAGTTGCAGCTGAGGGAGGAGCTGTCAGTTGCTGAAAGCGATATTTCAGTCTGGGTGGAAAAGTTTCCAAAGCTGTTGAAATCTGTAAGAACTCGTAACGGGTTGTAGACATGATGAGGCACGATCATCGTCCTGAGGCGCCGAGCTGTTCAGTGCACAATCAAGATTGTCTTAGCATGAGTTTGTTGCAGAAGGAAACCATGTTCTTCTCAACTGGCACTTTTCTTTTGAATGCCAGAGATCCATATGCATGCTAAAATATACTGCAGGCGCTCTTAATGGGAGCAGCTTGTGGTTTCAGCGTAAAGGCAGCTGATTCATAGCAGTGAGGAGATGGAAAGAGTGGAGCCATGCTCCTTGCTTTCCCTCAGCTTCAGCCTGTTTCTGTGTGGCTCTCGTGTCGGTTGCCGTATGACTGTTTGAGTGGGACACAAAGGGTTAAACCGTCTGCTTGTCTTCCTTGGAAAGGGGAGAGGCTACTTGAATGGCTAGCTTCTACAGCCAGCCAACACATTGGCTAAGGCTGAGGGTGGATCTGTTGGGTCTGTGCTGCGACATGGAGCACACTGGAGGATCAGGAGTCAGTCAGTACACACAGTAAAGCTTTTGTGTATGTGTGTCTCTTTGTGTTTGTATGTGAGTGGGGAGAAAAAGCAGAAATTCAGCTTTTAAATGAACTTTGGCGATGGAGGCAAGAGGTCAAAGCAAGAAGCAGTTTATTTTATTTTTCTACTGTCTGTAAATCCTGACTGACTGACGTTGATAAGGGGCGATTATATCATTTGTTTTTCTAGCTCGGTGCCCCCCTTTAGCTTCCCTCTCACATTCTCATATTGCTGCTGCCCTCGCCAAACACACTCCTCGTGCACCTCAGCAGCTTACCTCTGTTAATAAAAGAGGACAGGGGGGTACATGTTGTTTTGTTCATTTAATGGCAGACCTCGTGACACTAATGAAGACAAGCCGTTTCAACACATGCACACTGAATCCGAATGGTGCTGAGCGATCGCTGCCCAGCAGAGGAAACTGCTCCAACAACTGCTGCACGTTACTCAGATTCATTGTTTCCTTTCGCACACATTCCCCTTGCATTTAATGTCAGTTCAGCCTCATAAAGACGCACATGCTCACATCTATATGGCCTCACCTGTAACGTACCCTCATTATCAGCCCTGCTGCTGAGCGGTTTTAATCTGACTATCGTGGATGAGGAGCTAATCTCAGCGGGCAGGTCAGTCTGCTGTATTTACGTCTGAGAGTCCTACATCTCCCCTTGGACTCATCGACAACACAGTGTGGCACATTCACACACCTGCCAATCCACACAGCCTCCTGTTACGTAATGACTGACTTACACGCATGCACACAAGCAAACATATGTGTAAACAGCTGATCTGCAGACTTGAGTCTTTAGTTGAGCTTGTTTACGCCCAGGAGACATTTAGTCGCATATTTTTTGTAACCGTCAGGACGCTGCGATCTTTTAGTGTTTTCATTTCTCTTGCAGAGCTCTCTATTCTCCCAAAGAGAAGCCCGTGGATACATTTTCTGTAGCCGCTTTAGATCATTTGTTTATTCCGTGGCTGTTTCGGCCAAGAGCTTAGAAATACATGGATGTTAAACACAGGCCATAATTAATACTATGTTTTTAGGTTATATCATATCATACATTCCAACACTTTGTGGTGTGTGGCAGTTTTATCAACATTAAGGCTTCAGCTAAATATTATTTTCATTGAAACAGGACAAGGTTTCTCACAGCCTGAGGAGGATAAAGCTGCAGCAACACAAGCATAAAAATGCCTTTACAAAACATCCCAGACCCGAATGACGAGCTAAACTAGTAACTGACATTTAGATTAAAACATAAATTACTTATTAACCTTCATAAATAAACTCTGAAATAATTCTCCCAGCATTAATTAAAAAGACACTTTTGTATGTTCTAATGAGCCAGACAGTTTGATTTATTATTTGCCACATCTTAAAGATGGATTGTCTGCATTTTATATTATTTTCTTTTAAAACCGTTTTGCAGGTGCACAAAATTATGACACACACTGGTCTGTAACACTGAGATCAGACATGTGGGATATACAATAGAGGGGTGCGATTAAAGAAATCTTCATAAAGGGCTGCTGAGATTTTAAAACATTTGGACAAAAGTTTGGAGCTCTATCACTGATTTCCAGTCTTTGTCAGACGAGCTCCAGTACTTCTTAATCAATACCAGGTTTCATTTGATTTTACTGCCTTGCGAGCTGTTCAGATAAATTTTAAACACGTGAAGTCAGCATTTAGGTCTGTTTGGTAAATCTTAAATTCATACTAACTATATGAGGTGGACATTTAATCTATTTAACTAAATATGTAAGTATTTTTAAGCATAATTGTATTGCAAATAAATAGCAAATATTGCTATGAAAATGTATTAATTAGTAAAAAAACAAAACAAATCTTTTTAACCCTTCAATCCATCATTTTCAGCTTCTTTGTTATTTTTCCAATAACTTACAGACTATTTAACCTTCTCAGCTGTTTGCTAATTAGTTTTCATTAGCCACCGCTGCCCTTTTCATTATAACAACTATTACAGTTACATAATAAACGTTTTTATATAGCACCTTTAAAAATGGTCCTTTTAACCTACAGGCATAAGCAGAACAGTGAAAGATTAGATTTAATCAGAGAGCAAACATAAAAGTTCCTAAAAAACATGAAATTTTTCCTTGACTGATTAACTTAATCTTTCCATGTACTGCTTGGAAAACAGATAAGTACCACCCAGTGTACAAGTATCCCTGGTTACTTGTGGAGATTATCATATCATGTCTCCCAAGCACTTCAGTTGCTTAGTCATTGTTTTCTTACTTAACTTCATGAGCTTGGATACTGCAAAGCTTAAATGACAATAAAAGGGATTGCAAATAAACTCATTTTAACCAGGCCTCACGTGCAAAATACTTGCATACTTTAAATGCCAGTTTCTCCCCTTTGTCTCACTTTCACCAAGCCTTCTGGAGAAGTATTTTTCTTTGGTCGACTTGGTATTGGATCCCTGCTATTTGTATTTAGTATGCTCCTTGGCCAATGGCAGATGGTCCTCGGGGCTGCTGGCTTGTGGAATAGGGAGGGATTTCACTCCTTCTGACAGAGAGATCTGATCACATGAGGTTTCTCCAAGAGGTAAAAGTTCAGTGTCAGTGGGGACTAATCAAAACATGTAGGTGCTTGATTTTTGATAAGCTCCTTTTCCTGTCCTTTCTTTAACTCGTGTCATCTTCGTTTCACCTGCAGCACACTCTTTCTAACCTCATCCTCCTTCTCCAATCCTCAGTGTGTCCTGTTCAGTGCAAACATCGGGCCTGCACTAAAGATGACCAGTGCTGCCACAGCCAGTGCCTGGGCGGCTGCCTGGAGCCCAACTCAGCCAGTCACTGCGTGGCCTGCCGCGGCCTCCAGCACGAAGGTACCTGCGTGCAGCGCTGCCCAGAAAACCACTTCACCTACAAGGGCTGGCGCTGTGTCTCATTCGAATTCTGTCAGAATCTGCACAACACATGCAAGCGGGAGAAGGAGCACAGCAAGAGCACGGACTGCCGCGAATACGTCATCCACAACGGCGCCTGCATCCCCGAGTGTCCCTCTGGTTACACGACCGTCAACTCCTCCTCGTAAGTGCACACGCCGTCAGGCTGAGAGGCTCTTAATGGCCCATAGAAGAGCCACTGGATCAATGAGGCTGCAAACATAAACACACAGACCCCAACGATATACATTTACCTACTCAATGGTTTTGTTACACGATGCATAATTTTCCCTACAAACACGTCTAAATTAGTCTAAATTGGGTTGCATGTTGCTAAAAATGCTGCGATACTTTCATTTACCAGTGCATTTATAATAACTGCAGGCTGACTATTGTTAGTGAGCAGACATCGCAGGAATTTTGTTATGATGGGTTTTTTTGGCACAAAATGCGAGATTGCTTCAGGGAGCTTTTTTTTCTTTTCTTTTTAGTTAGAGGCAATCAATCAGAAAGATCCTTCATCCTGCATTAACATGAAAAAAACAAAAACAGAAAATATTCAACAAATTCAATGTGGAATTAAAAATAGTCGGTCGTGTTGCTGCCACTGTGTGTGTTTGTAGCACACCATGACGATGCAGGAATTGGTCTTCTTGCTGAGCTCAGATGTTGCTCTGTGTCTGTGTGTACGCACACACAGACACAGAGACCTCTTTTTCTTTCTGTGTGTGTATTTGTGTGTTTGTCAGACACCGCAGACAGCTAGGTCAAAGTGGTACGGCACAGCAGGGAGCCGGGCACGTCTGCATTTCTGAATTTGACTCGGTATCCTACATTTCTGTGTTGCTCACTTGCTCGCTGTGTACCAGCCAGACGCTTGTGTCTGCACTGCAGCGTGTGATCTTTATGTAAATGCAGACACTTGTGAGTGAACTGTGTTTTCCCTTATCTCTAGCTCTGCAGTTACCTCAAATAGGTGTTGTGCTTGTGCTGACCTGCCAGTGACCTTCGCTGTGTCCCTCTGACACCTCCGCTTACTGTGACTGGGCTGTCCACAAGGGTGGGTGTGCCTGTAAGCACAAACACTCCAGACAGCCGAAGTCTTTCTGCTTGGGCAAAGGCTGAAAATGCAGCTCGGTCTTTCAGGACACGTAGTCGTCTGTTACAGAACCACTGGCCAGTGGTGAAACATCAGGGGACAGGCTGTCAGCACCCCGGGGTGCTTGGCCTTGACTCCCCTGGCTGGCTGCGGAGAGATAGAGGGCATGTCTGGCAAGCAACACACAGCAACAAAGTCCATGCAGTCTGTCAGTGATGACAGGAAAGGTGGCAGTGCCACTGCTGCCGGGTGTACAGCGTTACGTGTATTTCACCTTTATTAATCCACAGAGGATTTGCCAAGCACATAATCTCTGTTTGAACCACATGCAGCTTTCACATTCATGGAGTTGCATGCGGTACATTCACACCTGACAGGTCATCTGAAAGCAGATCCATCTCCAGTGGAGCAGATGAGGTGTTTTGTTTGAAAACACCAGTGTTACAGCCTCGGGCTTCAGACAGCTTTAAGCTTTCATTTTCAGGCAGTTTTCTATTCTTTGCTTTATATTATGTGAGTTAGTGTCATCTCACACACACATCATCCCATCTCAGGCTCTAAGCACAGAAGCCCGACCTACATGCTGTTCAAAGGTCATGCCAATCAAATGAAAGTGGGCTTAATTGGTGGTCTACCTTAAATGCAGAGGAGCTAAGCAGCTTCTTCCAGACGGAAAAGGAACCGAGGCACTGCACTTTTGCTCATCACAAGATAAGCAGAGATTATTTTGATATGCAAATCATGCAAAGACACCCTAAAATCTAGGGATTAAAAACTTGGAGCTGGAAATACGAATAATAGGTCCCCTTGAAGTTAGAAAAATGGTGAGTGTGTAAGTATATGGATGATAATTTATATTATTATCACCAAAAACCTTTAGCAAAAATACTGAATATAATATTTAGTATACCTTTAGTTTTGTGTATAAAGGTTTTAAAGAGACGGCGCATTTTCCAGCTGCAGCTGACCTGTGGCAATTCAGCTGAACTCCCATTTAATCCTTTTCACTTTGACTTCCTTTCTGTTCCCTTTTTTGGTTCCTCCTTCTCAATGGCGTCCTCCTGCTGTTGTTGGCTTTAAACTAAGCTGTGGAAATGAAAGTGCTTTGAAGGATAAGCAGTGTACTCAAAGGTGTGATGAGTGTCTGGGCTGAAAGTGCAGATGTGGCACTCGGGAGGGAAAAGGGTCAAGGGTAGTTCAAGGCGGGTTTTGAGCCAGATTAGATAGTAAAAGAGAACAAACCTTCCTTTACTCACCAGCATGAGTAAACTTCTATTTTATTTATTTTTTAGTCATTCTGGCTTTTAAACTGTTGTCATGTGGCTGGGTTTGTTTTGTTGAAAGCTGTTGTTAATTTCATATACAACTATATCAGTGCCAAAGCTCATAGTGCGTACTTCATTTTTGAAATATTAAGTATTTATAGTCTGTAAATGAGTGATTACCATTATAAGCGTACCAGAAGAATCCATTATTTGCCATTTTTCTCTAATTGTCCTGCCTGCTTAATCAGCTGTTACTAAACAAAGGCCATTCTCACCTCATAAACCAGGACAATGACCTGGAGCAAACAGACCGCCATCTTCTAATCCTCCACTTTAATCCCTTCAATTTAAAACATTCAAAAACATTTTCCACAGCAAATGTGTGTCGGCTGTAGGATGTCTGTTCAGTAAGCTGAGAGGGAGAGAAAAACGTGCACAGATGTACTGTGTTTGTGTTTATCTATCAAAGATGTTTTGGCCTTTTTCCACTGAAGAAAGAAAGAGGGACAGAAAAACGGTAAGGTAACAGATTCTGTGCCTTGACTATATTTGGATCAGTCATGCTTACGTGCATAGCCTCACAACAAAAGGCTGATTTTGAGCCAGGAGAAACCCTTGCCAATGCCACTCCTCCTCTACTGGATGTGTAAATAGACATGTTTACTAGCAGGGTTGTCATATCACTTGTCTGCTGTCCAAAAATCACTCATCACAGGTTTACGTTTTAGTATTTGCGTGTGTATGTGTGTGAGAGAGAGAGCGAGCAGAATATAATTCAAAACTCATCTTGTTCCTTCCTGTTCTTTAGGCTCAACTGCACTCCCTGCGCAGGGCTGTGCCCCAAGGTGTGTCTGGGTCTGAAAGTCGTGGACTCGGTCACTGCTGCCCAGGAGTTAAGAGGCTGCACCATCCTCAACGGGAGCCTGGTCATCAACCTGCGTGGAGGAAGTGAGTGTGTGCGGTTTGTTTGGCTGAATCAGATTACATTGTGCAGCAGATCAGCACAGCAGAACAACAAACACAGAGATGTTGACATTGCACGAAACCAGGAAGATACTCCAGAATGTACAATTAAACAATCAGCAAAGTTAATTAAAGAGAAAATAAAAGCTATGGGGACTCTGGAAAACATAGATGTGTGATGATTTTTGAACATTTTAAAAGCTAAAATAAATTTTAATAGGAACAAACAGCAAGCTCATAGTTTCATTTAGATTTGATGTACAGTGGTGCATAAGTTCTTCTTCATTTGAAAGTTAATGGATGTGAATATTTAATGCAGTCATTAAAATATAAAAGCTGTGCTGAAATCAATCCAGTTATATTATTTACAAAGTAAGCCTGCGATTTAATGGAAAAAAGATGAAAAGAAAATGGGAAACACAAATGAATGAGGACAGTTTGTTGTGTGTCTTTTATGAGTCATGCTGCAGAATCGGTAGTCAGTTTTTAAAGCTCATGGTTTTTTTTGTTTTTTGGGGGATTTCTGTAGACAACATAGCTGCTGAACTGGAGGCCAGTCTGGGCCAGCTGGAGGAGATCACTGGCTACCTGACAGTGCGACGTTCCTACGCCCTCGTGTCCCTTTCGTTTTTCCGTAAACTCCGTGTTATTCGTGGAGAGGAGCAGGAAATCGGGTGAGACTCTTTCTTCTTAGCTGTTCTCATCCTTGCCATGTCCTGTAATTATGAGTTAAAAGCGGAAGGACTGACCTTTTCAAAATGTCTTTTTGTGGTAGCCGTTTCTGGTTAGACTTTCCCAAATCATACACGAGGCTTCGTTGAGACGAAGTGGAAGACGCCTGCAGCACAATGAGCTGCACTTACAGAAGAAATAGCAAAGGACAGACATGATATAAATTGAAGACTAGCCATGCTCAGATAACCTCCTGCTCATGTTACTCACAGGAGCTTTTTGTACCCTCAGCCAAATGTCATGTATCATTAAAGTATGTTCATGCTGTCTTCACTCTTCTTTTCCAGGAATTATTCCTTCTATGCACTGGACAACCAGAACCTGCGGCAGCTCTGGGACTGGTCCAAACACAAGCTGACCATCCAGCAGGGGCGCATGTTTTTCCACTACAACTCCAAACTCTGCATGTCTGAGATCCGCAAGATGGAGGAGGTGACGGGAACCAAAGATCGGCAGGTCAAGAACGACATCGCCTCCAAGACCAACGGAGACCAGGCTTCATGTAAGACCCTCGGCCCTCGAGTCGGCTTTTGCAGGATGTTATTATAGCAACGAAAAACACCGAGTCGGGCTTGGTACATGCATACATACTCATAGTTATTGTTATGATGGTCATTTCCTGTCCTGTGTTTGCAGAAGTCTTCCTGCAGACCTTTTACCGACATTGTGTAACTTGTGTAGGAACAACCAACAAAGCAAAGCACTCATAACCGCTATGCATGATAACTTGGTGATCTAGGCGTTGCTCTGATTGTGTCCTTTCCATCCTAATTTATATGTGTACGAGCTGGTTAACAGGATGTTATGAAACCTGGCACCAGCATGGTACCTCGACATTGCTGGACCAAAGGTTTGACTGAAGAAATTCATGATTTCTCATCAACCTGGGAATTTTATCTCAGTTTCGTCAAAAAAATAAATAAAAATCTCCATAGTCAGTTTTCAAGTTTTACATTTCCCAAATGGGGTCTATTCTGTACCCACAGATCTGTGTAACTTGGACTTGTGTTTATATAGTTGGGATCTTGATGATCAGCTTCTGATTGGCCCTGAGTCTCTTTTTTACCCCTCAGCTGTAAAAGGCTGATGGAGTGTTATGTCACCCTCACTTTGTGAATACAATATCTCTACAAATAGACAATGTGAGACTTTCAAATTGATGTCATAGGTGGATCTAATAGGAGGGTGATGGGGTAAGACTGGCGGCCATCAGGGTGTTTGATAACTCTTTGAGTTCAGGTAGATTTTCTGTCATCCGTGTTTTACTTCTGCTGCAAAGGCCACAGAAAACATTTGAATGCCAGAGCAGTGCGTCTTCGTAAATTGAGCCACAGAGATGCACAAGGCCAAGGTCATCTTTCTTTACTGACATGTTAAAAGCCTTCGTTTTTTTCTTTATCGAAGACCTTGATAAATTTGGTAAACATGTAGGAGTGAGGCTGCAGACAGCAGCGCTGAGGAGACCTTTGTTGTTTTTGTTGTGTGCTGGAAGACTTTAATTGTATGTCTGCTGTGCTTTTGAATTGTTAACCCAGCTTTGTTAGTTCTTTGTAAGCAAGAGATGTGCTTTTACACATGTTCAGCAAAGCAAATGAAAAAGGATTTAGTTTGTAAACTGAAGAAGAATTTAAGTTTAGAGTGAAAAGTACAATTGGCTGAACAAGTGGAGTACATGAAGAAGTTCTCACAAATGAACAAAAGCAGATATGATTCCTTAGTTTTCTCCAGTCAACAGAGATTTAAAAACCTGCATAATTACTCATTATCTTTAACCTTCACTATTTCTGTCTTATGTGCTCTCAGGTGAGAACCACGTGCTCAATTTTACCCAGATTCGAACCATGAGCGATAAGATAATGATCAAGTGGCAACCTTTCTGGCCGAAAGACTTCAGAGACCTGCTGGGCTTCATGGTGCTGTACAAAGAAGCGTGAGTTCATCTCGAGTCAACAGTCAGCCACACTCACAAACAGACTCAGAATCTGACTCGGCTCTCTGCCAAACCAATATTGTTCTAAGCTGCTCAGATACGCTGCAGAGGACAGCAGAGATACAGTAACTTCTGAAACAGAAGTTCCAGTAACATCTGAAAAGTATGTTTTAAAGCGACCAGATTAGTTTTAAAGAACGTTATTGTTTTTCTGTACTCGCACATCAGATACATGCTCACCAGTGTTTACTGGCCCAAATTACACCCAAAGTGTTTTGGGTGTAATTTTCCTTTAACAGTTTCTTCATTAGACACCGTAGACTAAAAAGTAAAATAGACATTTTTTAACTTTAGAAAATATAGAAAGTTCAGAGTTACTACTCCAGAGGGAGGAGTTCAAGTGACCCATGACCTGAACCTGGATAAGCAGCAGAAAATGGATAGAACATAATTTACATCCCCACAGACCGATAAAATCTCAAGATAACATCCTGAAAGACCCTCCTTTCTAACCAGAAGCGCTGTGAGCGTCACTCTAACCTCAGTAATCTTTTATGAGCAGATTTTCCTCTGTAGGCTGTTGAAATAAATCGATAAATTATTTTTCCTACAACAGACCGTTTCAGAACGTAACAGAGTTTGATGGGCAGGACGCTTGCGGCTCCAACAGCTGGGTGATCGCCGACGTGGACCCTCCACGCCGAGCCACAGACGGAGAAAAAGAACAGATCGAACCGGGTCATCTAATCTTCCCCCTAAAGCCGTGGACGCAATACGCCATTATGGTGAAAACCCAGCTCTCGGCCTCTGACGAGAACCAGGTCCACGGAGCCAAGAGCGAGATCATCTACGTCCGCACCAATGCCACAAGTAAGTGTGATGAGTCGATCGCGGCTTCTTCCACCTGAGTATTGCTTTGATGTAGTTGAATTGTGAAGTATATTTTGATTGAAGACTTTGGAGTTGATTTAGGAGAATTTGTCCTCATGCAGGAACTTTACTACCTGCGACTGTTTTCCACTAGTTTGTTTTTGTTTTGTTTTTTTTAATACCAAAATTTTTTTTGTGACTCCACCTTAACTTTATGACAGAAGCAACTTGTCAAGGTATTACTACCAACCACAGCACTACTCAGACATCAATGATGTTGCATCGTCAAGCCTGTTCTGGACCTGAATCTAAGGACTGTCCTACCAAACCAGGCATAAAAATTGCTCTGTGTAATCTAAACATGGAAACCACTGCAAACCTAAAGCTAAAGATGTATCAGCTTCTTCAAAAGCAGGTCATCCGCTGTGAAATTCTCACAGTGGAAAAGGTCAATATCTTGTCCTGTACTAGAATTCAGCTATTTTTAGGCTCATCCCGCGGTGTTACTATCATTGACTGGTGGAGTCAGTGTTGTGTGTGTGTTGCTGTTGCCAAAATGTCCTTGGCACAAGAACAAGGAGGAGGAAGACAGACGGCACGATTTGCTTACGGTGCCACAGACCTGCAGGGCCTTACCGCCTTACCGCCTTACCGCGTGAAAGGTGTCCGTCACTCCATCAGTCACTCAAGCAGCAATCACCGTGCTCTTCCCCACTGCTTAATTGTACCTTGCCACCCACAGATCTCGCTGTGTGCACCATGGTGATGGCCTGTCTAGCTAGCTTCCTTTTAGACAATATACGTTTCCTTCCAGATGAACCGCATGAAACATGACATCTCTCGCTTACATGAAATAGGCTTCCAGCAGAGGCGCATCACTCACACAGACAGCCATGTCAAGCAGGGTTTTGTTTTGTTTTTTGTTTTGTTTTTTTACCCGTCTGGCAGGCGCTCCGGGTTCCTGGCCTGTGTCAAATCTAACCAACAGGGCAAAGCTGTCATTACAAATAAGCTGTTGCTGGTAAATCTTTGTCAGACAATGTGGTCTGACCAGTGTGTGGCAAGAAACAAGGACAACATAATCACAGTACGACAACAAAGCTCAGGTCTCTGCAGCTCCCAAGGGTTCAGTCTGGCGCCCCACTTTTCTCACGTACACTCTCCTGATCAAACACTGGAAGCTCGGCAGCGTCAGAACGATACTCCATCTCAGGCCAGAACACTTTTGAGATCTGAAGTGTCTCTTGTTCTTCCTCCTACTCGAAAAATCTACGTCACACTCAGAAAGAAGGCCATGTGTCAGCGATCAAATACAGGGCGATGCCAGTCACTGATCAACCCACAAGCTAGCAACCTATTTTTTCTGATCTGCAGGGCTTTTTGTTATCAGCTGACCACAACTGATACAGATTCAAGATCATGAAACCAGATTTTAAAGAAAAACAAACTTGCAAAGCTGTCAGATTTCCCCCCCCCCCGCCACATATTTACTAAACCTCACCAACAACACACACTTGTATAAATTACACACCCCCAGCAGTTAACTCAGTGTCAACATCAGTGCATGTGACACCACAAAATAATCACCGGGGTAATTACAGTAAACTAGAAGCAAAGCAATAGCTGGTTGTTTCAGTAAAACTGTCATCAAATTGCAGCTGAATGAAAAAGTAAAAGCTACTGCCGAAAGCACCCATGAAAAGTTCGATCTTCATTCCCCGTAACGTGAAACGCTGGGCTCTGTGAGAGTCGCACATTACAAGCATCAAACTGTAATAACAAATAACAAAACTGACGGGGAATACCCTGAGCAGGCAGCTGCTGGTCACAGAGCCAAACTGTGCCAGTAAGCGTGTTTCAGTATGAAATGCAAATTGGATAGAAAGAGGACTTCTCGTCCTGCAATAACAACAAATGCAGATGATCAAACCGCAGCCCGATCTGTGGAACGGTGCAAGTTTTCATCTCAAAGAGAGTAGAGAGTCTCAATATAGACTCGTAGAGAGTCTATTTTATGTAAATTCAGATTCCTGGTGCTTTTAATATGTGTACATTGAAGCGAGATGTTCCTAGTTCATTAAATGTGAGTGAGGGGAAAACAAAAGAATAATCAGTAGAAAATTACAGTGAAAATAGTCAAAACTGAGTTTAGACATTAACCAGACAGTCCTTTGCAGCAGATAACCACAATCTTCAAAAACTTCGAAACTGTGTTTTAATCTGCTGAAACGGGAGCTGCTGTTTGGGATGCAACAGGCCTGTGTTGGGCAGAGTGAAGTACAGGGTGCAGAAAAGCCAAATGTAATGTCCCCATAAGTATGCAGGGTCTCAGGAGCTTAAACGCAGCTGAGTTATGGTCCTGCAGATAGCAGTGCTAGGTGGTGACACGGCCTGGATCCAGCTCTTTAATTTATGCAGCAATATATGGAAGAACATGTTGTATGTTGTCTGTCTTATTTATTCATTCTATTATGCATCTATGTGATGCTAAAATAGTGGAAAGACTAATTTCCTCCTGGCAAATTTCAGAGAATTCACAAATACTGGAAGAAAGTAAATATAGAAAAGTAATTTTTTTGGCAGCAATTCTGGTAACAGGTCAGAGTATTCACGTCCCGCAAACAGACATCCATGTGTTAATAAAACACTCTGGGCAAAAAACAAAGATTTCCCAAATTTGGGAGTCTGACTATCTAGGGAGATCATGAATGACTAATTGAACACATCACTAACAATGAGTAACAATCTCAGTATTGTTCTTTTAATGTAAAGTCATAATTTAAGTATTTATTAAGTCTTCTGTGTATTTCTGAACTGCACTCTTGGGATAAATAAGGCGATTTGTTACTCGGTGTGCTTAATATACGTGTTGCTTCATTTTAATCGGCTACTTCTGTGATTTTCCCCCCAGAACCGTCGGTACCGCTGGACCCCATTTCTTCCTCCAACTCCTCCTCCCAGATCATCCTCAAGTGGAAACCTCCCAATGACCCCAACGGCAACATCACTCACTACCTGGTCTTTTGCCAGCGTCAGCCCGAGGCCAGCGAGCTTTACAAGTTTGACTACTGCCAGAAGGGTTAGCCACATTGTTTGTGGTCATTTTGTGTTTGTGCGTCTGCTTCTGTGTCCGACACGCTGAATGCTTTTCATTAGCTCGGGAGCTCGTCTCAGTTTAAGGCTCTTGACTACTACAAGCTGCTGCAGTCTACTCGTGTGACACAGTAAATATTTTGTGATGTAATTCTTCTTGATGGCTTTTGTTACCTTGAAGAAAGGAAAGTGCTCTGATAGTTTTATTTAACCTAAAGTGTATTTATTATGGCAGGGCAATTAACTGAATTTTATCTATAGTTGTTGTTCTGCTTTTCAGTTAATTTGAAAACAGGTATCTATCTTATCACCATCTTAACTGGCAGTTACTTCTCTGTTTTATTGTGCCGGTCTCTACAGATAACTCCTGTGCAAGTAGCCCAACCAGTGAGAACACAATGGCTTCACTTTCAGCACCTGAAAACAAATAACTAATAGATTTGCTGAATCTATTTTCACAATAATGCTCTTGTTTTGTCTCATGGTGAAACGTATATCCACTTTTCACTAGAATCACTAATTCCCCTACAGTTTTAGTAAGAATTTGATCAGACTTGCACATAATAATAGGTCTCCACGATAGGTTCAAAGTTCAGGTTAAATATGTCCAATAACCTCTGAATTTGAGTGCACTCTGCCCCAGATGAGCTACTACGTCATTGCTGTTCTGGTATTGAAATCCAGCGTTTGTCTTTACAGCCGTGTGAGGGAGTCTTAACAGGTTTCCTTAGGTGAACTTGCACAAACATCATTAATGGTTGTTGTACTACCCTTTCATTTGTGTGTGACACTTGGGGTCTTTCCCTCAGTCCAGTGCAGGCTCTATGCACCAGAGCTGTTTGTTAGCTGATGACTTGGGACTCATTCCCTCTCCACGGGTTCATTATCTCAGGAAGCCACTGCTTCCTCCATCGGCACCTTTGGACCTCCTGTGGTGAAGGCAAAGGATGGAAGGGACCAGTGGATGGAAGACAAACTAAATCAATCAAAAAGAAAACCCACTGTTTAAAATATATTTTAAATGATGTTCCCAAAGGAAATGAGTCACCCAAACCAAAACACTGGCCTGTTTTTTTTCTAAAAGTCACTAGACAAGGAAATGAAATTGAGTAAAGTTGTGTCTTTTGTTAGGGCTGCAGTGCATAACTGAAACTAAATGAAACGTGGTACTAAAACAGTCATATTCTTCATCCACTTTAACTTCAATTCAGGAAGACTTCATATCTTAGTTGATTTATTTTGGTCGTAGCCCAGCCTGCGTGTGTGCCTTTCCATCACTGCCCGTCTGTGTCAACGCAATCACTCCTTTTTTAAACTCCCATAACGCTCGCTCATACAGAGATGGGAGTCTGCGGGGAGGTCGTGTCACTCGTAATTTATCTCCAGCAGAGAGAATGAGGACCTGGGGATGACAGTGACAGACATGCCACCGGGGCATGGGGTGTGCGAGGGGTTGTGCATAAGACTGTGTTGTGTATCTGTGTTTATCGCACCTGTCATCCCAAACTGGCTGGCTGAAATGCATTTTTATTCTCTCCTGACTACGTGTCACTAGGGATGAAGGTGCCATCACGACTGCCCACTCAGGTGGACAGTGACGAGGAGCAGAAGTGGAACCAGACAGAGGAGCAGGGCCAGGGGACACGATGTTGCGCCTGCCCTAAAACCGAAAAGGAGCTCAAGAAGGAAAAAGAGGACTCAGAGTACCGCAAAACCTTTGAGAATTACCTACACAATGAAGTCTTTGAGATCAAGTAAGACTCCTGACAACAAACCTGCACAGGAACAATAACAGTCACTAAAAATGTCCTATGTTTGTTTGTTTGTTTGTTTGTTTGTTTTATTGGTCTAAATTTTTTAATCATTTTTTAAAGGGTTGGATGCAGATAACAAGTAATGTGGTTTCTGTGTTTGAATAACTTTAAATTTGACCTCTGTCATCTAGACGCTCGAGAGACCGGCGTGATCTGAATGGCATCGCCAACCGAACATTTTCCTTCCTAACCACCGCACCAAGCCCTCGCGCGGGTACGAGCATCCCCGAGGATGAGGAAGCCTTTGAAAGCACCAAGACCGTGGTCACCGTCCATGCCAAGGAGTCCACCATTATCTCCGGCCTGCGCCACTTCACCAGCTACCAGATCGAGGTCCATGCCTGTAACCACCCAACCGACCCGGCGCGCTGCAGCATGGCAGCGTATGTCAGCGCCCGCACAATGCCTGAAGGTAAAGAGGCATTGCTAACGTTACCAAGGAGCTTGGTTATGTAGGTCTGTGTAATAAACCCGGATCTCTTTTAGCAAACCTTCTTCTGACTCGCTCCTTGTTGCAAACAAAGTTTGAAAAGAAATGACCATATTTGGTATTTCCCCTCTCTGGGACATCATACAGAGCCAAAAGTAGTAAAAACCTGTGTATAACAGAGTGTTTAGCACAGAATGAACCCCTGAGCTTTTGGCTCACAGGAAATAGTTTTTAATATGAGCATACATGTTGTAATAATCTGTGTGTGTGTATGACAGAAAAGTATAGTAGGTCCCCTGTTGGTTTAGAGACCCCATAAATTGGTCACTTGAACAATACAGTCACAAAAAACCTGTCTGTCTTTTCCAAACTGATCATTTCTTGAACAGCAGGATAAAGGGAGATACTGACGTGCAGTAAATGTCTGCAGCCACTATCAAAGCAAGGACGCCCCTGCAGCTCATCTTTTATTTACTCCAAACACGCTCAACTCTTCACACAAATATGACTCATGTCGTTTTGTTCGCCACAGACAAAGCCGATGACATCTTGGGTCTCATCAAATGCGAGGTGACAGAGAAAACAGTACACATCACCTGGATGGAACCGCAAGCCCCGAATGGGATGATCATCCTGTATGAGATCAACTACAAGAAGCTGGGTGACTCTGAGGTGAACATGTCCACAGGCTTCCACATCTGCATGCACATTTGTCATGGCTTTATTGCCTTAGTATATGTAATAGTTTGAATCTTGGATGGCAGAGTTCATTGCAAGTTCATGTCAATGCAAATGGTTCTTACACCAAGCAATTTTTATATTCCTCTTTCTCATTAAACATAATGACTTTGGCTTTCAATGGAAAACAATATAGAAGAAACTAATTGTTGATCTTAAATTTCTAAAAGCAGTGCTCATTATTTGGTCTGTTGGTCTCACTAATGTCATTTGGGAGAACCTTAATGGAGGAGTAATTTTAACCGTGCACCATGTTTTAGTTGCTATAGAGATCAGTTAGTCAGAACATCTTGTTGATGCTGGTGATTTTATTTGTAGTGCAAAACAAACCAAAAGAATAACAAACTTGTTTTTAACGCACAGATATGAAACAAAATTAGTCTAAATTAAGTTTTAAACTTTCCAAACCTGAACGGCCGCGTTGTTCCTCCGCAGGAGCTGCACTACTGCGTGTCGAGGAACATGTACAAAGCGAGCCGCGGCTGCAGACTGAAAGTGATGCATCCTGGGAATTACACGGTGAGAATCCGGGCCACCTCACTGGCTGGGAACGGATCATGGACCGAGCCCACGTACTTCTACGTCGAGGATCCAAGTAAGTAGACAGAATGAGTTCAGACATGGTTTTAGGGTTTTTTAATAGTAATTTATAGTAAAAACTGATTTTCAAAATGTTGTTGAACAGTGTTGGTACTGAATTACATTAGTTTAAAATCTGCTTTTAAAGGAAAGATAAATCCATTAATTTTTATTCTTGGCCATTTACTCAATACATTCATTCATTTTATACTAGCCACCATCTAACAGCTTATTATACAGAAATAAAAACCTGTTTATGGTCATGCTTTTGTTTATTTTAGGGTGCTCTCTTATTCTTCCACGCTTTATAAAAAATGTATACATATTCTCATAAGAAAATGTTTGACACAAATCATGACAGCAGAGAATAAAATTAGTTTTCGTTCCACCTACGGTATATTTGTTGAAATTTGAGAATTATTTTTGCGTGATTGCATACTTTTAACCAAACTATCTCTAACCTCTTTTTTTTCTCTTTTGTTGTAATTGTTTTTTAGTGTGAGCAGCTTTAGTCACTTTCACTATTTCTTGCCTTTTTATTATGAAATTTTACTCAAACTAGTGCATAAGTGACACATAATACTTCAGTTTTATATATTTAAATATCTAACATCGGAAAACTTGTGAAATAGTCGTCTTAAGTAATCAAGGATTACTTTTTCAGGATTTAAAGTCTGTTTATACAACAACAGCATGTAAAGTCTGTCTACGGACACCTTCTGTTTTCTGAAGGCGTGTGTAGACGGGTTTGTCCATTTATTACAGTCTGATCTATATCATGTTCTTTGTAAAACATGATGAAAATGTATGTTTTCTTCTCGGCTATCAGTATATTTTGATTTATGCGCTAATAAGAAACAAGTAATCTCTCTTCTGTAAACCTTGGCACTCTAATGTGCCAGCAAAATTAAAACAAAGATTTTGAACTTAGCTTTATGGAGTGTTTGGATATTAATTTACAAATATAAGTAAATATAAGTTTCAGCATGGTGACTTTGCTCTAGTCTTGCCTGATCTGACCAAATCCTGCTAAATCAGTTGTCTATTTTAGACACACAAAAATAATCTAATTGGCCTGCTGTGCACACAAAATTATAAAACCTTTCACAACCCTGTTTAATAAAGTACCTCCTGTGGTCCTACCTAAGAAACCAAGGTGCTTATATTAAATTTTATACAGTTTGATGTTCTGTTCTTATTTTGACCTGCTGCTGAAAAAAAACCCTCTGAGTACAGCTCAGAAATGAGTGTAAATTCAAATAAATGCAGAATTTTAACTTGCAAACACGCAGACAGACACCTGGCATGACTCAGTCTTCTTAAACCAAATCAAAAGCTTGTACTTGAAGCAGATTAGGATCACAGAGCAGCATATTGATCCCAGCTTAGCAGGTTTATTGTGTGCAGCTTGTTTTTGTTTTTCACCTGAAATTTGACTCACTGTCCGGGCGGACTTGTTGAACAGGCGATCCTCTGCATGTCGTCAAGATCGTCATCGGGCCCGTCATCTGCTTTGTCCTGGTGCTGTGTGTGGCTTTGGCAGGCTTCGTCATGTTCAAGAAAAGGTAGATCTTTCACATCCAGCTCAATAGTCATTCTCTTATTATTCGACGTGTTACCAGTGTTCTTATTAAGCTTGTTTTGTTTTTTTTCTCCTTTTAGTCAAACCCAAGGACCCAGCGGGCCCATCTATGCCTCTTCAAACCCCGAGTATCTCAGCACTGATGGTAAACAGGGTTTGGGTCTCCTGTCAACAACAGAATACTTAATGATTTTAGCTAATTTAAGGGATTTTGACAACTTAGTAGCAATTACACATCAGCGTTATCAGCGATTGGATCCCCTGGTTTGTGATTGGCTGGTGAAATTGTTCCTGGTGGATCAACTATTAAACTAACTGTTGCACCACGACATCTCTGCAGGATCTCATTAAATTAGTTTTGTTAGCATGAATTTAATTTCTGCTGCATTTTGTACTCTCGCAAAGATTTAATCCAATAAGATCTACTATTGCATTAGTTGATAAACATTGATTATTTTTGGGGTTTCAGCAGTACAACTAATGAAATTTGGATTTAATTTCATAATGTTATTCACATAGTTTATTTTATTTTATTATTAGTAATGATGGGCATGTCCACTAGCCTGTTTTCCTATGTATTTAAATGTTTTTTTCTTTCCCTTTTTCTTTTTGCAGTGTATGAGGAAGATGAGTGGGAGGTGCCCAGGGAGAAGATCGCCATTTTGCGGGAACTGGGTCAAGGCTCCTTTGGCATGGTCTATGAGGGCATTGCCAAGGACATTGTCAAAGGCGAGGGTGAAACACGAGTAGCGGTGAAGACGGTGAACGAGTCGGCCAGCCTGCGGGAGAGAATCGAGTTCCTGAACGAGGCCTCCGTCATGAAAGCCTTCAGCTGCCACCACGTGGTAAAGAGAAGCAACATGTTTTTCTCACGTTGTTCACGAGCAGAGGACATTGATGGTTTTGGTTACTGGCGATGTGTAAAAGTTTAAGGTGGGGTTGGAAGCAGTGGGCCGTAGCTGTGTGTGTGTTAGCTGTTATTTTTGAGTATTTAGAACAGAAAGTACTAAATGTACTAAAATCAGAGCTGTGTGAAAGGCAAGCACCTGCTTCACCTGCTGACTTCTAATTCCCGTTTTTGAAAAAACTAAACTACATTAAGATGAAAATCCCCATGTTTCTATCTGCCAGGTGCGTCTGCTGGGTGTGGTGTCTAAGGGGCAGCCCACCCTGGTGGTGATGGAGCTGATGACCCACGGAGACCTGAAGAGCTTCCTGCGCTCTCTGCGACCTGACGCTGAGGTAAAACATTAGTTTGAATTATGTTTGTTCTTCTTTTAGTTCAGACTGTACTTCTGGTTTCTTTTCTTCTTTTCACTTCTGCATTTTGTGAGTATAATAGGCAAACTAGGCTTAGGTTGCATTTTCTTGACTTTATGCAAAACAATCTTTTATAACTGGATGGGAAATTATTTTTACACTGAGCAGCATAAAAGCTTTTAAAGCGTCATGTTTTAACTGGGCTAATTCTGCTCAGTCGAGGAGCTATTGCTGCTCCTACTGACACATTAGGCTCTACTTTGGTTCTTAGTGAGGTCTTATCTAGAGAGGTGCTTTAAAGATACACTCGGTTTACTGCAAAAGTGCAGATAAACAACACTTTAAATCCATCAGTGTTTAAAGTAAGCAGCTGTTAACAAAGTTGGAGTCATAGGGTAGGGGGTTTCTCTCCATCTGCTATTTTGTTTCCAGTCAGATTGTTTTGGACTAAATCACATCTACAGAATAATAGTGTGTTACATCAGAGACTGTGTGCACAAATATGGATCAGTTTATGTGGTATTAACACTGAAGCCTTCAATATCAAAATCTGCATTTTCTTTTAATACATGTTGAGGGGGTTTCTGTGTACAAAGCGATGCGGCGCCTTTTTAAGTAAACATGCAGATGGCGTTTTTGTTAGAGTAGAAGCAGGGCTGAGCTGCAGGATGCTGACAGAAGGTTTTAGCAGTAAAGCCAACTGAAAACATGGCAGCTGCCTTGAAACGGGTGGCTGGTGTGTTGGGAGCAAGGTTATAATAATTCACTAATCTAAAAACTAAAATGACTTAATATTGATTTTCTTGTTTTACTACGGTGACCTGACCAGACCTCAGAAAGAGAACAAGTCCAGAATTTTACTTTTTATTTTTTTAATTTTCATAAGATTAAAACACATCTCATTGATCCATCTTTGTTTATTTTCTTTCAGTTTTTAACTTGAAGATGTTAAACTGTGTCTGTTCTCGGAATTATTGTACTTTATTTTTTGCATTTTTTTTAATTTAACTTGTGAAAAGAACATCATTGATCAATCACAGAGTTAACAATACAGTATGGTTACAAAAAATGTATGTGTGTTCAGTGTGCGCACTTTTGCCTTTTTAGCTGAGATGTGTGCTGGACCAGGATTTGGGACATAAAAGTGTGTTTTCGGGTTTTTGTTTTTTTTTATCAGAAACTGTTCAGTTGGCTACATTTTTCAGGCATAGTTTTGAGAAACAGTGTAGTTAACATAACAAACAGTGGAAATCTGAAATCTGCTGTATGGCTAGATAATGAGTCAAGTGTTTGTACAATATTTTGCTTGGTTGATCTTCAGTCTGATATCATGAAAAACTACTACTTAAACTGAAATTGAACATTTTTAAGATTAAAAATTAAATTTGCAATGAGTAAAACTCACTCTGGAAATTAAACTGGAACTAAATCGATTAAACTAAATTGAATTCAAAACTAAGAAAACTGCAAAAGTGTTTCTGAACTGACATGCTATGTTTGTTGACATCTGCACAAACCTCATTATTTTTCTAAGTTCTGAGTGTTCAAACTGAAAGTCAAGCCTGTGTCGGGGTGTTATGTTGTGTAACTGTGTACGATGTGTTATCTTGTCAATAATTTACCTAAAGTGTAATAATATAATGACTGTGCCAAACTTTTTGTTGGTAGATCAGAATTTCAAAGTCTGTCTCATGTTCCTCAGAATAACCCTGGCCGTCCACCACCCACTCTGAAGGAGATGATCCAGATGGCTGCTGAGATTGCGGATGGCATGGCTTACCTCAACGCCAAGAAGTTTGTCCACAGAGACTTGGCAGCCAGAAACTGCATGGTAGCTCACGATCTTACAGTCAAAATAGGAGGTAAGAATTCGTGAAGTCAATGGGCACAAAAAACTGCTTAGATTTTGGTGCCTCATAGTGGAAGCATGAAGAGCCAACAATGCACTGTCACACTGATGGGTGTTTATATTCAGTCATCAGACATTACTAAGACAGTATTCAAATCCACAGCTTTAGGTGCCATGTATTGACTGAACAGGTGTGAGCAGAAGCAATGGTAATGGGACCCTTATAATTAAGATAAATTAGATATATCCTGAATACAAAAGGGAACTTCACAAGGTTACAAAAGCAGATAGTGAATGTAAAATAACAACCACCAGATCTTTCTGATAATTGGTGCAGGTTTGGCTGTAATTTGGAGTCTGATTTATGTTTTCCTTCCAGACTTTGGTATGACCAGAGACATCTATGAGACCGACTACTACAGGAAAGGAGGGAAGGGTCTGCTGCCCGTCAGGTGGATGGCACCTGAGTCTTTGAAGGACGGCGTCTTCACTGCACATTCAGACTGCTGGTTAGTGACACGTCTGAATTTTAGACTCCTTCTCCTCCTTCATCTTTTACTTCTCACTTTTGAAACCATCCGTGTGCAAGTTTTAAATATATTACAGATATTTAGGCAACATGGGAGCAGATAGTGTTGTTTATCAGTATCACCTGCACCTGTCTGCACTCTGTCTATCTGTTAACAGCATCAATCATGTTTGTAGGCAGATACACTCTAGGATCTAATTGCTGCGTTTTCATTCTCCTCATGTCGTTCCCTCTTCTTCGCTTGTTTACCAGGTCATTTGGGGTGGTGCTGTGGGAGGTAAGCACGCTGGCTGAGCAGCCGTACCAGGGCATGTCCAACGAACAGGTCCTCAAGTTTGTCATGGAAGGAGGCTTCCTGGACCGGCCGGACAACTGCGCTGACAGACTGTGAGTATGATCAGGGGGATTTGGTGGCTACGCACTGAGAAAAACAACTTCTCCTGCTTAAACTACAAACTGTGTCAAAACACTTTTAAGCAGTTATTTCACAAGTCCACAGTCAAAAGTTGAACTTTTCAATTTAGATCACTGAGATTGGAAGTGAAGCATAGGATTTCATGATGTTCATAAATAACTATTAGCGATGTGCTAAAATACATTATAAAATGGAATGTGCAGGGTGCTAAATCTGAACTCAGCTGTGAGAGCAAATATGTAAATATTTTTTTAAAGAAAAAAAAAAGAAGCTGCTAACAGATGTACAGTTTACTTTTGTTTCCTAAAACAGCTGGGCAGAGCAGTTTTTAGCAGGTGTTGCTTAAAGTGTGCTCTCAGGGTGGCCATATTTTTAGCTGTTGATGTCTGAGCATTTGCTGCAGCAGGACAGTGACTCAAAATAATCAGTGCACATGGACAACAGAGGTGAGGGGAAGGGAATAATATAAATCAGGGAGTTGGTTTTGTTTTTAATGTTGTTTATTAAAAGGATAATATCGTGTCTATGAAGCCTGATCAGGTGAAGTTGATTTGACTGAAATATTCTTAACAGAACAACCATAAGTACAGCTCCTAATCTTCCCGTCTCATCCTGCAGACACAACCTGATGCAGATGTGCTGGCAGTACAACCCCAAGATGCGTCCCACCTTCCAGGAGATCATCGAGATGCTGCGGGAGGACCTGCATCCAACCTTCCAGGAGGTCTCCTTCTTCTACAGCGAGGAGAACAAGCCGCCAGAGAGCGAGGATTTCGACCTAGACATGGAAAACATGGAGAGCATACCACTGGACCCCTCGTCGTACTCGCAGAGGGAGCAGTGTTTGGACAGGGACGAGGCCTCCTCCATGGGCCTGAGGGGCAGTTACGAGGAGCATCACATCCCGTTCACACACATGAATGGGGGAAAGACCAACGGACGAATACTGGCCCTACCACGGTCCAGCCCCTCCTAACATACTGTACACATCCCACACAAACTCATTGATGCTATAGATTTAAATATATTTTTGTTGTTTTTGTTGTTTTATATAGCTCACACTCAAACACTCTCCTCAGCAGCCCCTCAGTGCATATCTCAGGACCTTATTTTTCTCTTCAGATGCCACAAACACACACTACAGCAAGTCCAAGCTCGGACGCCAGAAGACACTTTTTGTATTTAAGGATGAATCTCCTGTGTCTCTCTTGTTCATGATTGTAGGTTATATACTGTATATAAATATATATATATTGCCAAGTTTGTGCTAGTCTGGGTGGATATTCGATTCAACTGTGAAACAAACTCTTGACAAACAAGAAGGCTGCTAACCCCACTGACCCCCCACCCCTAATTCTAGACTCCGTCTCCTCTCCCTTATTTCATCACAAGAGTTCATCCCGAGTTTTTGGGGAAAAGAGAAAAAAAAAGTGCCCTTCTATTTTGTCTGTGGCCTACATCACACATCATGGAGCTGCGTCTGAATCTTTGCACGCACACGAAGACGAACTGAAAAGGAAAGCTTCGGGAGCTCCCTGCTGGATGGTCAGAAGCGGCCCATCCTCGAACAAACTCTTATTCACTGGAGAAGCTGGCTGAAGCAGCCTACCTCCTCACACTCTGCAGTATTCCAAAAAAAGGCACACGGGATACACACAGGACGTTTGTCGGGTTCTGTTTTTTAATTTATATAATGGTCTTTCTTTTTTGTTTTCTCCTTTTTCCCTACTTATTTTTGTTTTGGAGTTTTCACACTTATAGCTGAAGGATATTTAAACTGTTTTCAAAAAACACGTTGCCGAACGAGTTCCTCAGATTGACCAATAGCTGCTTCGTTGGTATATTTTAGTGGGTATAGAAGATAAAAAAATATATATATATATATAAATGTTATATTGATGTTTTTGTACATAGTTGATGTCAATTTTGAGGTATTTCCGGTCATAGAAAATGTTTTTACATGTTAGTCTATTACGTTTATTTTTTCTAATCCAGAAAATCATACTAATTAGCTTTTTTGGACTCATGATCAACCAACAGCACTTGGTCTTTTTACTATGTGATCTATGTGATGCCCGGGGGAAGGAGTGTGTGGCGTCTTCAGCTTAAGATGTTTGCCCGTCATATCAAGATCAAATAAAATAGTGCTGTAAATAATGCAGCGAGATGCATTTGTGAGTAGGCTCTGCCACTGCTTGTCTTATTTTTCCAGCATGTTTGTGTTCACAAAATTGTTATGCGTAAATTTGATGTTTGTGTTTTTCTCCATTGAGTACAACACATCTGAAGCATTTTGTTTACCTAAAAAATATCATATACATACACAGAAGTTAGTTTACATACAAAGTGGCGGCTCTGCGTTACTTCAACACTTGATGCCGTGATGTTTCTGGGTGTCTTTGCCATAGCAACAAACACCTGTCACTTACAAGCAACCTAGCCAAGCTTTGGTTAGGAGTTGGCTATCTGTCTGTTACTAAACAACATGGTGATGATTAAACTGTCCTTCACTTTGATGCTGAACTCCACAGCCGGCTACCTCACGCTCTACTGATATTTTTCTAACGGGATTTGATTGGCTGAATCCGGCTCTTTTACCAGGAGTAAAGCAACAAATCTACAATTCAGCAGCATACGACTTCACCCCATTCAAAGTAGAGATGGACCGATCCAATATTAAGTATCGGTCCGATACTGACCTAAATTACTGGATCGGATATCGGAGAGAAATAAAAAATGTAATCCAATCCATTAAATATCAAAAAAGCACCTCACAAAACTTGCGACATGGCGTAACTCGGCTCATAACCGTAGCGTGTTGGAGCAGTATGCATCAGGTGATAGAGCGGCTGTGGCGTGCGAGATCTGTTGTCTGGTTCAGCATTTGGAGCCTCACTACCAAACTGGCATTTCATCTCCGAGAAAGTGATCCCAGAGAGAAGTAAAGCAAGTGTGTAAGTTCATCTCTGAATGTTTGTAAAGCATTCCAGCGTTAAGCTTAACAACCGATATATGGAGCGACTGCCTCTTCTCTCTCCCTCCCTCTCCTGCTGCAACTTCAATGATCAACTGATCAATGATCAGCTGATCGGCTTTTCTGTTGCGAGTCTGTCTCTCATGTTTGTTTATCGCCCACTTCGTGCCGGAAAGAGAAAACCAGCGGCTGAACAACAGCAGCACGTTTAAGCTTGATAATCTGTTGTTAGAATTTATTTAATATTACTTTGTACACCACGATCTTTTTCTACTTAGCTGACAGCTGGTAACTGTGCAGGAGCGGATCTAGCAAAGTTTAGCCAGGGGGGACCGATAGGGCATGAACAGGGAAAAGGGGGGCAAAAAGAAATACTTTTCTTTCTTATTCTCATTTAAAATGTCTGGTTTTTAATAATTATCTGAATCTTACACCCAAAGTTTTAATCTGATGTAAAATGTATAGAAGTCCATTAGTAACTGTTAAGTCTAATATACCCTAATATACACTTTTTCCTTTGGGAAGGTACCATCTGTGCAGTCTGCACTTCTGTTGAAGAAAGATGTTGAATCTATTTAATTATTCTTGAAAAATAATGGATTTCTGTGCATTTTCTTTCACGCTGAATCAAATTAAAGTTGATTACATCCATTAAGCATCATGAGGTGGGGGCTTGCAACCCTATTAATTAGGTTGCTTATGATATCACTATGAAATATTTTGGGTGCAGTGTATTTTTTTGCATACAGGTATAACAGAATAGCTTTAGTGTTTGTTTGTTTTTTTAAACTTGAATTTGAACTTATACAAAATGCAGCAAGATATTAAAAAAAACAGTTTTAATTAAAAAACACACTATATCAGATTCATATCGGTATCGGCCGATATCCAAATTTATGATATCGGTATTGGTATCAGACATAAAAAAGTGGTATTGTGCCATCTCTAATTCAAAGCAAATGACAGTAGAGAGCCGTGAATTCTCGTTACATGTAAAGTTGCCACCTTACATCATCAAAATCAAATTGTTTGTGTGGTTACTGAAGCAATTCAACAGTTTTTCCCACAAAATATGAAAATCTCCAGTTAGAATTATTTTGTACAGCATTTTTGCTGGTACTATGTAATTACTGTAGTTAGCCAGATGGAATTTTCAGGACTCTTTCCCCATTGTACACCCACCAGGGTAACCCTTGTTTCCTTTCTGAACTGAGCGGTTTATGATATTTCAGGCCTGTTTCCAGAACAAAATGATTAGGTGTGGATCAGAAATTTTTGAGGATAATCTCTCCCTGTATAGCCTACTTCTCTTTCCTTGGGAGAATGGCTGCCAAACTATGTCTTTAATGTTATATATTAATATGTCGAAACATACTTCATTAGGGCTACAAGTGAGTTTGTCAAATACTAAAAAATGTCGATGGGGGGAACAGTTAAGGCTTAAGTAAAAACTAACCAAATCCACTTTACACTTTTTCCAAGTGTCACTATTATAGAATATATATAGAATATATCATTTTTCCAGTAGTAAAAAAGGCACCAGTCTATGGTCTGTGACCTCTTTCTACCCACATTTTGATACCAAGATTCATAGCTGGAAGGTAAAATTTTGCATCAAGTATACATGAGTTAGTGCTGTGTAGCTGACCTGGCACTTCTACTCCATGTCTGCATGGGTTCTCTCCAGGTACTTCAGCTTCCTCCCACACAGTCCTCAGACATCGAATTAGGTTGAATGGTGATTCTGTTAGGCCCGTGGCATATTGGCAACCTGTCCAGAGTGCACCCTGCCTCTCACAGCTTATGCTGTGACCCTGAGTTGGATGAATGGATCGATGGATCGATCTGCTAAATAATGTAAAACTATACTTGAGACTGAATTGTGTTTTGTTGTTTACTGGATATTGTTGTTTATTTTTGTTATATCCTGGCCTGCAGGATAGGATCAATTAAGCTGAACTTCCACACAGTTGATAGTGAAATGGCGCCCCCTAGTGCATATCACTGTATATATGTCACAGGATTCTCCACAGCATTACATATACAAACATTTCAGATGCAGTGCATGATGTGACTAAATTAGCTTTCAGTGTGTACTGTTTTAAAAGTTTAACAGCTAAGCTGAGGTTTCATGCACTAGTGAAACAATCTGTAACTCTGTGGTGTCTCACTGCGACTCAGAATATATCCCTTAAAACAGCTTCTAAATGGAAATGAAGAGAGTCACATTTAAGTCTTGCTTGCTTATACACTCAAATCCCTCTGAAGCTATGATGATATCTTAGCATTCTGAAACTGATGGAAATCATTCAAAGTTAGTTTAAGGAGCTTAGAAAGAAACAACTGGACTTCTTTAAGTTTCTTGAAAACGTTTCACCTCTCATCCATGAAGCTTCTTCAGTTTTAAAACCAAAATGTGGAGAGTCCCAAGTATTTAATCCCTGGTGGGAGTTGTCCCTTAAGAGGGTCGTAGACCCACTATTGATCATCTGGCTCACCACATGAGCCACAGTGTGAAAAAAGGCGTCGGCCATTATCAACAGAAGTTTCGGGTGAGAGTCCCCGGGAAGGGACCTCAAAACTGCATTATAGGTGGCAGACAGTTGGTGTTGCAAAGTCTGTTCAAAGATTTTTCATTCAGTGGACACAGATGGCCCCTTTCGCTTCTCTTTCAAACCATCTGTCTTCTCTGTCCAAAGTGTGAACATCAGCATCCTTAAAAGAGTGACCTTTATCCTTTAGATGATGCAGCTAAGTCTTGTTGCTCTCCATAAAATCAGCTCAGCTCTATGTCCCCTGACTGTGGCTCCAAGGCACAAACTCTTGGGAACAAGTCGGCTTTGTCTGCATCTTAGGTTAAAGTGGAGGTAGTTTCTATAGTCCGTTGGTTTTCTTGATTCCCTTTCATATTAAAGCAACAGTTGCAGTGTTTTCCTCCCAAAGTACGAGGCAATATTTCTGTGTAAGTTCTCAGTCATCCAGGTCATTGTAGTCCAAAGAGCTTAGAAAGAAGGTGTGTGAACTTTCTTGAAGACATTTCACACCTTGGTTGTGGTGAGGCACATGTGGGTCAACAACCCTCTTCAAGGGACAACTCTCACTAGAGATTAAATAGTTGGGATTCTCTCTTTTTTTTTCTTTTAGAACTGAAGAAGCCGCTGAAGAAGCCGCCCAGTCTTCTAGAAACTTAGGCAGAAGAAGAAACCAGTCACTATCTTTCTAAGCTCCTTAGGCTACCATAACCTGGATGACTGAGAATCTACACAGACATTCAAAATTTGTTATTTTAGAGTTTTCCTCATTATGCTTCACTGGATTGTGACAGAATAAGAAATAGGAAATTTGGTACTAAAAAGTATAACTCTGAGAAACTTTAACACCTTCTAATAATATACTAGCTGTTTATAAATATCATTAGAGTCAGGATTTTCCCATCCATCGTCCATTTTTATTTAACCATTTGGGAGTCCATCTCAGGTCCCACAGAGAGAGAGGCAGGGTCCACCTTGGATAGGTTGATGGCCCATGACAGTGTTGACAAATAGATGTGAATGATGTCTGTCTCTACGTCCAATTCAGAATCACCAGTTAAGCTAAAATATATGTTTGGACTAAAACTATTAAAAAAAATTAACCAAAAGATTCACTCTGGAAACTAAGTTTAGGTAACCTGAACTGAAAATAAAATAAAAACCAAGAAGAAAAGATGAAACTAAACTCTGGACCAAATCTTCTGGGATACGAGATGATAGGAGCAGCAGAGCAATGTGTTGGGGAATTCTTAGAACCCTGCTTTCACTTGCTCCGTGCAGTTCAAGGATGTTCAAAACCTCAACTTTCTGCCGCTGCTATGTTATCATCATTGGGACGACACAGTGGTGCAGAGGTTAACACAGTGGCCTCACATCTGATTATCTAAAAAAATTATTATTATCATTATTCGGTGGATTTGTATGAAAAATTTACTAACACAGGGCTTGGCCCAACATAGTGATTAACTTGTGGAGTTGGTGTGGATTCAAAAGTTTTGGAAGAACTTTATCACCATAAAACAGACCAATGTTAAAAATACACTGGGAAAAAATGAGAGACAGCAAGAAAATATTAAAAACTGATCCTGATACAGATATGCTTCTGGATCCAGGAACTCAATTTGAGCATCCAGGGGACTTCTCTTGTATTGTTTCTTTCTATTCTTTTGGAC